ACCAATTTTTAAAATGTTTCCTCGAAATCACTCTTAAATACTTTAAATACGTCTAACAGTTAATAAATATTTTTAAATCTATGGAATAATTTTAAAACCTATCAAACCCCTGTAAAATAATTATTTAAGTTTAAAATCTAAAACTAAAAGAAAGTATTTTTGTTCAATTTTATCGACAACGTTGCTATTGCTGAATAATTTTATTAAAATGTTAGCTTAAAAGATTTAAACTTTTTTTTTTAATTTTTGAATTTTTTCTACTTGAAAATAATGAGCATATTTAATTTTTTTAAATTCAAACTTTTATTTCAACTGCATGCGGTTTTTAAAATACTTGATTAAATGTTAAAATAATCGTCAATTACTTCATTAAAATTCCGCTCAAAAATATCTTTAAATATACTCAAACAAAAAATTTTTTGCTCGACGCAAATAGCCCTAGCTACACGCAAAATCGCCCTTGGACGACGTAAAATTCACATCGCCCGACGCTTTATCGCAAGGCCTGATATATATATATATATATATATATAACAGATTTATGCATCTATATATATATATATATATATATATATATATATATATATATATATATATATATATATATATATATATATATATATATATATATATATATATATACATATATATATATAATATATATATATATATATATATATATATATATATATATATATATATATATATATATATATATATATATATATATATATATGTATGTATATATATATATATATATATATATATATATATATATATAATATATATATATATATATATATATATATATATATATATATATATATATAGATGCATAAATCTGTTATATATATATATATATATATATATATATATATATATATATATATATATATATATATATATATATATATATATATATATATATATATATATATATATATATATATATATATATATACTCTTGCATGTCTCTGATGCAAGAGTATATATATATATATATATATATATATATATATATATATATATATATATATATTGATATATCATTTTTCATTGATGCGTGGCATCAAAAAAAGTTTCCCATAAACTGTAGTTTTAAAGAGCGCGTTAATAAACCAGACTAGAAAAAGTTTTGAAAATTAAATTTTTTTTTTTTAATTGATAGACTGCCTGGCCAAACCAAACCCTCAGTCGATGTAGCAGCACTCTCTTGCGAGTCAGGCTATTTGTCAGTCGTTGTAGCAGCACTCCCTTGCGATTCAGGCTATTTGTCAGTCGATGTAGCAGCATTCCCTTGCGAGTCAGGCTATTTATCAGTCGATGTAGCAGCACTCCGTTGCGAGTCAGGCTATTTGTCAGTCGATGTAGCAGCACTCCGTTGCGAGTCAAACTATTTGTCAGTCGATGTAGCAGCACTCCATTGCGAGTCAGGCTATAAGATAGTCGATGTAGCAACATTTACGCATGTTTTAAAAATGTTTTTTATTAAATCAATAACAAAAACACCACTAATTAAAAAAAACTTTCTAGTCGTTATAATTGCGGTTTTTTAAAAATTTTTTAAAAAACAATTAAATTTAATGTACTTCCGCATAAATTAATTGCTTTGACATTTCGATGACAATCAAAAACAGCTTAAGAGACGAGGTAATTGAAATTGTAGTCGTAAGAGACTTTTTTTACATTAAAACGCTCTTAAAGCTACACTATATGGGTATATATATATATATATATATATATATATATATATATATATATATATATATATATATATATATATATATATATTATACACTGACTAAAGTGTATTTTTATAAGCATTTGCTCACTTTTTTTGCTTACCTTAACCCATGCGGTTTTTTTAGAAAAAGAAGAAAAAAAATTAAGAATGATGAATGAAACGATTGCTGCCCCACTGCGAGTTAGGCTATTTGTCAGTTGATGTATGTACTGAAGCCCCCAGCAGCAGGCTATTTCAGTATGACATCTGATTGCTTACCTTAGTACATTATACTATATATAAATATATATATATATATATATATATATATATATATATATATATATATATATATATATATATTTATATTTATATTTATATTTATATTTATATTTATATTTATATTTATATTTATATTTATATATATATGTAAATATATATAAATAAAAATTGGCAAATATATATATGCGCATATAAATTATTTACACACATGCTTTTAATCTTATCCTAAACTAGAATTATTAAACCTACCCGAGCTAAGAGATTACTTAGCTCATGAGGATGTAGCTTCTGAACTTCACCAAGTTGTTTTGCAGCAGCTTTTCGGGTAACAGGTGTTGTTCCTGTGTCCAATATCAAGAGTAGACGGTCAAGTCTAAAAAAATAAATATTGTTAAGATAATATTATAGTAAAGATACAACTGATTACATGATATATCATAAACAAATTTGCTAACCTTAAAATAAAATAATCATATTTTATATTTAAAAAGTGAACTTGATATAATTTAACAAAGTGGAATCAGTGCCGTAGTAAATTATTAATTTACAATATATAATGCTAATTTATAATTATTATTTATATATATACGTTTATAATATAAAATAATATATGTTAAAAATAGCCTAACAGCAGCTAGTTTTTTTATTTTTAAAAAAATGAAATTATAATCATACAAAAGACATTAATTGAAAATTTATATTTAAATGAACTTTAATCTTCATATTAAAAATAAATAATAACAAGTTAAATGACAGTAATATATATATATATATATATATATATATATATATATATATATATATATATATATATATATATATATATATATATATATATATACTTCCGAATAAAGGTCAGCATTGCCCTAATTGATGACCTTAAAGTGTTTTAGGTTGGCAAAAAATTACTAATATCAATTCTATGTTTTATGGCAACCTTTGGAATTAGGAAAAATGAGGTCAACAATAATTTGCCAACCACAGTCTTTTAGAGGTTGGCATCAGGTCAAAAAAAAATTTGATACAAAGGCCTTACCATAAAACATAGAAATGAAATTAGGGTCGGCATTGCCTAATGCCAACCCTAATTCCAAGAGCTGGTTTTATGGTAACCCCTGTGTGTCAAATTTTTTTATTGCTATATATATATATATATATATATATATACATATATATATATATATATATATATATATATATATATATATATATATATATATATATATATATATATATACATATATATATACATATATACATATATACATACATACATACATACATACATACATACATACATACATACATACATACATACATACATACATACATACATACATTCATACATACATACATACATACATACATACATACATACATACATACATACATACATACATACATACATACATACATACATACATACATACATACATACATACATACATACATACATACATACATACATACATACAGTACATACATATAGTGAATTCATTTTTTCTTCAGGATAACTATCTCGTTTACTGTTTAAAACTGTTGTTTAATTACTATGACAACATTAAATTAAAAAAAAATGAATAAAAACCTAATTTAAAGACAATTAAAAATCAAATGTAATTTGAAAGTTAGAATGTTTGAAGTTAACTTTTGCTTGTTGGTAATTAAGAGTTAATTGTTTTTATATTATATATATAGACAGTAACTATTGTATATATAATTCATTATATTATATAGACTAACTATTCAATTACAAGATAAATAGTTTAGTTACAAGACATTATTAAGTGTAAATCAATTTTCAATAAATATTAAATCGTATAATAAAAAAATCAAGGTGGTGAACACAAACTAAGTGGTATTTACAAATCATAGTCACAGCATCGATTTAAACTGGAAGGGGAATGGGGGGTTGGCTAAAACAACTCCTTTCCCTCATTCCATCACTGAAAATATTTTGGGTTTGTCACTGATATATATATATATATATATATATATATATATATATATATATATATATATATATATATATATATATATATATATATATATTTATATATATATATATATATATATATATATATATATATATATATATTTATATAAATTTATATATATATATATATATATATATTTATATAAATTTTTTGAAATTTCCCTAAAAATAGCCGATCATTGATCGTTGATCGGCGATTATTTCGAGCGCTGTATATATATATATATATATATATATATATATATATATATATATATATATATATATATATATATAAAATATATAATAGCCTTAAAAGTAAACAAAAACTAAAGCTTCTAGAAACTTTATGGCTAATGTCATATATTGGCAAATGTGCTAACCACTGCACTACAGCTGCTCAAAATAATAAGTGAATTATTTAAGATCAACAATCAGTATATGATAAAACATAAAATTGATAAAGAATATGAAAAAAGGCTACAGATGAGGAATTTGATTAAATACAAAAGAGAACTTTAAAACAATTAAATTTACAAGTGCTGCTTCATCTAATAATGATAATACAGCACAATGAGTTTTTACTGATTCAAAACTGTTGAAATCAGAAATATTTGACATAGATATAGAACTTATTAAAAACATTATCAATATCTTTGCCTTGTTAAACTTTAAACTAATCCAATCAAATTTGAAAATTAAATTGTCTACAAACAACTTTAATAATCAATCAGAAATAATCATTGTATAAAACTCTGGTTTTATACAATGATTATACAAATCCATCTCTGGATCTACTCCTAAACTCCTACTCTGGCAAAGCATCCTGCTTTTTTTGCCCAAATATGCCCACTTCAGATTTGCCTAAAATTTTGACCACCCATAGGATTTATGAGAATAAAACTTCAAGTAAAAATCATTTAAGCATTTATATATTAATAGTTATCCAGCTAAATTCATATTATTGTTATTGAATAATTTCAAAGAATTTTGAGTTAACTTCAAAGTAGCTAAATAATGCAAAATTAAAAAGGTTTTTTTTAATTTGATGTTTAGAAAAAGTGGAAAGAAAAAAAATCTAAATAATAATGTGAACACTGATGTTGAAGTCTTATTTCGAAGACATCAAAACTGTCTATATTTAAAAACTTTAAAGAAAGCCTATATTTCTAAATACAAAGCACTTCAAAAATATTGAAGTGATTAATTTAGAATCCACAAGCCAATTTATTAATTAATAAACATAGAAAGACAAGCACAAAGAAAATGAAAGAATTAAAATAAATAGAGAGAAAAAATATTTAAATTTTTAATATATATAATTTTTAATTCAATTATTACCTAATATTTTTTAATTCTTTAACTTTACATAAGAATTATTTTATATTTTTTCTAACAATTATTACATAACTTTTATTTTATATATTTTTCATATATCCTAGAATTTTTTTTTTTTTTTTTTTTCATTGGTTGGTCTTGTCATTTTCTTTTTTCTTTTTTTAATCTAATATTTTGTTCTTCGCTTGTTTGTCTTAGTTCACTGGAATCAAGTTGATACGTTTTTTTGTTTGCTTTAGGGTTTCATTCCATTGATTCTATTGATTCATTTTTAACTACTTAAATTTTTCCTGGCCTTGCATTAAAAGTTTATTTTATTTTAAATTTATATGTATGTTGTTAAAGGAATAAAAAAAGAATAAAAATAAACAAAAATGTTAATCTTCCAATAACATTTGTTTGATAATAATAAAAATTGCAAACTGCTTAAATAATAAAACTAATAAACAAGTGAACAAATAAAAGTTAAGTAAATACCTGGTACTCATTCTGATACTAAAACATTTTTACTAAAAATATAAATATGAATATGTATATAAAAAAAGCAGTATTTGTTATAAAAAGTGTAAAAAAACTTAATTTGGGCAGCGCCCAAATATGGTCAACACTGTCAAAAACAGTCTAGAATAGTCCCTATATATATATATATATATATATATATATATATATATATATATATATATATATATATATATATATATATATATATATATATATATATATATATATATATATATATATATAGGCTTTCACAGGAAGATGTGCGATTTCACGTCTTTACATTTTGCTATGACGGTTTGACCCAGCTAATTTAAAAAACATTTTAGAAACACGCTAAATAAAAAATATTTTAAAAAAGTGAAATTAATTACATCAAAACTTTTTAACAAATGTTTTTATATTAGCGAAACAATTTGAAATGAAGTAACAATTTACTGAAAAAAAGTTTTGTTTTTCAAATATAACCGCCAGTTGTATATATTTTTTTAATTTAAAACATATAAATTGTTTAAGTGTTCATTTCTAAAATATATTTTATTAAAAAATAAAAAATTGTTTTGTTTTTATAAACGATGACATTCTACGACTACGAAAGTCTCTTTAACGAATTTAAATGTAAGAATGATTAAAGTTAATCTATTTAAAAAGATAAACAAAATTTTGTTAAATAAAAAAGTTTTAGAAAACCATTGAAATTTAATAAGTTTGATCTTAAATGCTTTTATATTATCAAAACGCTTTTAATAAAGTAAAAAAAAAACACTTCTAATTAATTAAAAAAAAAGTATTTATAAAATAAATAAACCCTAACCCTGCACCAATTTACTTAATTACCGCAAAACTACTTAAAATCATTAATGTAGAAATGTTACTATTTAAAAATGCTTTGGATGTTTCGTTTTTTAAAATGTAAAAATATTTGTTTATTTTCTCGACGTTTGACACATTTTGTTCATACTAAACGAATAAAAAACATAAGTTTTTCAAATAATTATTTTTTCTTTTTTAAAAGTCAGAGAGTAATAAACTGGAAATTTTAATATTGTACGATTAAAAAATGTGCAATAGCTAATATTTTTACTAGCGATTTTATATAATATTTTTTTATTTATTTTCATAAAGCGGTTGATAAGCACAATCACTCGTATTATTAAAAAACTTTAACGAACGTTTTGAATAGATTTTTTAATGTTTACAAGGAATTTTATTTTTGGTAAAATAAAATAAAATAAAATGTTAGAATAAAAATTTTATAGTTATAAAATAAATATTTCAGCGAAAAAATTATTCTTAAAAAATATTAATAAAAATTATTCAAAAAACTATTGACGTTCTATTTTTCAGCAGCTGTTCTTGAGCACGGTTCGTTGAGTTTCTTTTTTATTATATTTTCTCTTTATCACCCGGTAGTAAATTACAGGTAAAATAATATTTAAATAGTCAAACAATAAATTAAAAATCAGCTAAAACAACACGGCTCTTGTAGTTGTTAGCAATAAATGCTTATAAACAGCCGGTTTGTTTTCCACATATTATTGTGACAGAGTTCTAGGAACATTCTCCTCCATCAAGATTTTAAACGCCTCTCTCTTTTCTTTCAAATTCCAAAACTGGAACGCTTCGGTAACTTTTAACAAAAATGCGATTGTTATTATTTAAGTAATTTTTTTCGAGTTTAAGTTAAAAATCTAAAACTAAAAAAAAGCATTTTTGTTCAATTTTATCGACAACTTTGCTATTGCTGATTAATTTTATTAAAATGCTAGCTTAAAAAGATTTAAACTTTTTTTTAATCTGAATTTTTTCTACTTGTAAATAATGAGCATATTTTTTTTTTTTGTAATTCAAACTTTTATCAACTGCATGCAGTTTTTAAAATACTTTATTAAATGTTAAAATAATCGTAAATTACTTCATTAAAATTCCGCTCAAAAATATCTTTAAATATACTCAAACAAAAAATAGCCCTAGCTACACGTAAAATCGCTCTTGCACAACGTAAAATTCACATCGCCTGATGCTTTATCGCAAGGCCTGATATATATATATATATATATATATATATATATATATATATATATATATATATATATATATATATATATATATATATATATATATATACATATATATATGCATCAACTGAGGGTTTTGCATGGGGCAGCTATCTTAAAAAGTCTTCACTAACGAGAGCGCAATAAACAAAAAACATATAATTATTTTAGGCCACTAAACTGTCATTTTACTATATATTTATACATACAAAATATTACTATATATATTCATATATATATATATATATATATATATATATATATATATATATATATATATATATATATATATATATATATACATATATATATATATATATATATATATATATATATATATATATATATATACATATATATATATATATATATATATATATATATTTACATACATATGTATAAACACTCACACACAAACACACAACGTGTGAATATATATATATATATATATATATATATATATATATATATATATATATATATATATATATATATATATATACACACACAACGTGTGTGTATATATATATATATATATATATATATATATATATATATATATATATATATATATATATATATATATATATATATATATATATATATATATATATATATATATATATATACATATATATATATATATATATGTATATATATATATATATATATATATATATATATATATATATATATATATATATATATATATATATATACATATATATATATTTACATACATATGTATAAACACTCACACACAAACACACAACGTGTGTGTGTTTGTGTGTGATTTGTATATACAATAAACAAGCACACAAATAAATTTAAAAAGCTGCAATAATTTCGGTATCAAGCATTATTTTTTTGAAAATTAATTTGAAAATTGTAAACAATACTCTAATCAAATCAATAAGCGTGATATATACTAAAATACTTGATATATAAAATACCACGATATATACTAAAATATTTGAGTTGCTAACCACAAGGAAACATGTTTACTTTAAATACTTGTTTTGAAAAGTCCTCTCAAATTAAGAAAATTAAGAACGTGTCGACTCGTTTGGTTGGCGAATCAAAATAACGGGATATTTAATTACTGTATGTTTAAATACTATATGTTCGTCTAGGTCCCGCGCCAAAAAACAGGCACATTAACTTATTGCGCCTAAATTATCTCCAAAACTGTTACTTGATATATGATTACCATTACTTATTAAATAGGAAACGAACAATTTTTGATTCAGTTTGCTTAATCAATTCCTAAAAATATGTATTTTTGTTTTTGACAATTAAATATCAAGTTTTATAGTTTATGCAGGGAATTAACAATTAAGGATCAATTTTATATTGTAGAATTCTTACGAATTTTTACAGACATATGCATTATGGTAGACATACAATTAAGGCTCAAGTTTATATTATGGAAAACATATTTTATGAAAACAAATTTGATCGTTTTTGAATAGTCAGTCGGCAAATGTTGACCCTTTCAACAAGTTAGTCGGTAAACTCAGAAAGTTTTATTGGCACCACCCCCCCCCCACGTGACATCTACTCGCGCCGGCCCAGGGTAGACCTTATAGATATTGGTAGATCCGTAGATCTCTAGATGTTGGTAGATCCATATCTAAAGAACTTATATTTTTTTAAAAAGCAAAATTGTATTAAGAAGGTAATTTTCATTTTAGAAAATTCGAATCCACCTCAAATATATATATATATATATATATATATATATATATATATATATATATATATATATATATATATATATATATATATATATATAAATATATATATATATATATATATATATATATATATATATATATATATATATATATATATACAGGCGCGGATTTAGAGAGGGGCACAGCCGGCTCGTGCCCCCCCCCCCCCCAAAAAAAAATTTGAATAATTTTTTATTTATAATTATGTCGATCCATTCTCAGGTCAGATATTCACTCTATAAAAGACAGACATTTACTCTTGCTTTGTAATTGGAAATTGCAACAATACATGTAAAAGTGTATTCAATATAAAAAATGTTGAGGATTGAAAGTGTTTTTGCTATTCATTCTTGGAAAAAAAACAATGATTTTGCAAATGTTATATTAACAAAACTATATATATATATATATATATATATATATATATATATATATATATATATATATATATATATATATATATATATATATATATATATATATATATATATATATATATATATATATATATATATATATATATATATATATATATATATATATATATATATATATATATATATATATATATATATATATATATATATATATATATATATATATATATATATATATATATATATATAAGGTTTGATATCTACTTAGAAAGTATATAATAAACCTACAAAATTAAAATATGCTCAGATTTATTGCAAGTTTTTATGAACCTTTGAAATCAATGAATCTAATTGTTTTAAGTTAAAATTATGGTGGAGTTCTTTGATCATATATAATATCTTAATTGAATGGAACTAGATTATTAATGATTTTGGTTCGGTAGATCTTATTTGTGTATCTTTAAAGTAGAGTGGGTCTCTAGAAAACGTACAACATACTAAATTTAAATTATACGGTTTTGTGATATCAGATTAAAAGATGTACAAGTGATGTAGCGTAGAAAAAACTTTAAATTCTGATCTATTTACTTCTAAATTAAGAGCTTCTCTTTTAAAAATTTTATTTCTAGGCAAGATTTAATAGCAATGTTTTTATTAGCTAGTCATTCTTTAACTGTTTATAAAGAGTTATCTTGTGTTTTAAACTTTTCTTTTATTAAGTTGTTTTATATTATTTGTCTTAATTGAGTAAACAATATTAGTAAGAAATAGGGTTTATCTACCCAGTAAACACACAAACGTCTATGAAATGTCAAAGCAACGTTTCAACAAAACGTTCAGATTTGGTCGATTATCCGTTTAGAATAAAATCCAGAATATCGTTTAGATCAAACGTCCATTAAACGTCTATATTCAAACGTATTTTAGACGTTTAAAGCGTTTAAATTATGTCTAATTTACGTTTAAATCTAGTCTAATTAACGTATATAAAGCGTTTAATTGATAATTAAATTATTTATTATTTGTTTCTTGTTTGAACATAATACACCAACAAAATTATTCTAATTACAAAAAAAGAAGCCGTGGCGCAGTTATAGATTATTCGCTTCAGAAACGTAAGATCCGCGGTTCAAACCTAACTTATGGGCAAGCTCTGCGACATCGGTTAGGAAGAAGGCGTAAACTTCCTATTAAATGCTCTTCCGCGGCGCTCGGGGATAAGACCGTAAGGAGTTTCTTGGAGCAACTTAAAAAAGATAAAAGAAATAAAAAAATAAAAATAAAAGAATTCGATTAACTTACAAATTGCCTTAACTGCACCGAGTGGTGATAAACCACTCATTCCACATAATCTATAAGAAAAATATACGTCTAGAATCTGTATAATCAAAAAACTTAATTTACACAAATGATGATAAAGTGCAACAAAAAATGATTTTGGATTTCTTCGGGGTTGTTTAGAAAATAGAATATTTGATTAATTGACACGAGTTTCTCAAAAACATTACAAACCAGAATTCAGATTTTGTTGCAAACTTTGGAGATGTTTTTGATCCAAAAATACCGCTTTCGATTTGGAAATAGGAGTAATTCAAAGTTTGTTTCGATCAAGCTAAGGTAAAATACGTGCGGCAGAAGTACGTGTGATTTCCAATGATAAACTAACCTTAATTGAAGGAACAATTATCTAGCTATATTTACATGAAAAATATAAAAGCAATGCCAAACAATTAACTACCAGTATATTTGTCAACTACACCTTTTCAAGATGTAATTAAGAGCATGAAAGTTGTAATTAAGAAAAGTAAGATATAATTAAGAAATACAACATGTAATTTAGAAGTCGTAATATGTAATTAAGAAACACCACATGTAATTAGGAAATTTTATAATGTAATTGAGAAATCCAACATGTAAACAAGAAATTAGCAGGCCTGTAGCAAGCGGGGAAAGGGGCTACGGGTCTGCTGAATACATGAGTTAGTTTATTACCTAATCACAAAGTTGCATTATTAAACTATTTAAAATTAATTACACCAGATTCAATTTTTGCTAAATTTCTATAGTTTGTCAATAAGCTGGTTTGCTTATCTAAGAAAAAAATTATTTTTAGAAAAGCACAACCATAAATAATATAAATTGAGAGACAAAACACATTCTAATTTGTCGAATCTATTTTCAGTTTGTCAAAACATTTGTGCTAACAAAACTTAACTTTAATGCCAAAAACACTTATGAAATAATTAAGCAAATTTGATTCACCCATTATTTCTCGATTATTTTAAAAACCCCAAGTAATTGAATATTATTATTAATATTAGTAATCAAAGTAATTTAGACCCTGATTAAAATAAAACATTAATTTCAAGCAAAAATTTCTACACAGAAGCAGTTAAAAAAATAAAATTTGTGAATAAACAATTTTTTTGATCCCTAAATATTGATTTATTTTTGATTTTATGATATCGTTTTTTGGAGATTCTGCTGACAAAGTCAAACATACCTAATTTTGCTTAAAGGCCTAACTTTTACTTAAAAATATAACTCAAATTTGTTATGACTAGATTTTTAAAAAATTAATTTGGAAATAATATTTTAATCCATTACAAAACAAGGGGCGCATTTTTTTGTATATTTTAATGACATATTTTACTCGAAAGAAATCATAACGAACGAAACGATTCAAAACAGTTAAAACGAATAATTCACTAAATTGTTTTTATTTCTTTTACTGTATAGAAGAGTAAACGTTTACAACAGCATTGTTTTACACCATTAGTAATATTATTTAACAACTTATTTTTGACGAATTAAATAATATTTTTCCAAAAATTTATAGCATATCTCCCTCCCCTCATAAGGACAAATACACACTGTGTTATTATAATAGAATCTGCTACTATCAAGTTTTTTTAACTTTTTTAGTTTTAACAACTGTCTATTTTTTAACTTTAACTACTGTCAACTTATTTTTAACTCTGAAAGTCCATTAGCAGTAGGGGGTGGCAGCAGACAATTTCAAAAAAAAATTTTAATTTAGTGGTTATTTATTACATAGAACACATTTAGGGGGTGGCAACAGACAATTTCAAAAAAAGTTGTTTTTAGTGGCACTCGCCTAGACAGTATTACATTTGCCCAACGTTAGTTTTAACATTGGCAAGTTTATTCTGTTGGGCCAACATTTAGCCAATGTTTTTTTTCGACGTATTATTTTCAATTCTGCAAATCGGTTTTTTGCAAATATCGTACTAAATTGGGCCAACATTTAGCCAATGTTTTTTCTTCGGCGTAATATTGTAATTCTACAAATCGGTTTTTTGTAATTATCGTACTACGTTGGGCCAACATTTGGCCAATGTAGTTTAGGCCTAATATTTTGCTGTTCTTACATTTATGCAGTAGCACAGTGGGGCAGAGTGTGCCAAAATACAAAAAAATCACTATCGGCATTGTATTCTGAAAATATGTCATAGTGGTGAAAATATGTTTATTAGAGGAAATATATAGTTAAAAAAACATTAAATATTAATTTAAACATTGTTTTATGCGGTTATATAGACGTGAATTTGACATGTGTTTCAAAACGCTTTTTTGCATTTTTTAATTATCAACTTTCTTACGCTACTATTGTTTTAAATTAATTTTATTGAGTATGATTTTAAAATATATTATTTGAATTATCTTTGTTTTTTTCGCACTGACTATTCAAAACAATTAAACGTAAGTGTATTCTTCAGTTTTTATGCATCAGTGACTAGCAGTTTTGGCTTTTTTTTTTTTGCTACTGACCTTTACTATTAGGTATGAGATAAACCGTCCTCCAATATCCTCCAAACATTTGATTATGTAAATCAAATGCTTAATGTATCTTAACTGCAATGTATCATAAATATTTTGCAACTTTTTGCAACTAATAAAGTTATAACAAATAATTCATACTCGATTCATAGTATTTATTGCAAAAACACGTTTTTCATAAGTTCTTGAAACTCGACTATTTTTAATGACTTTTTAATTGCAAATTATTTATGCAAGATTTTCTTTACCAAAGGTTTCAATAATTATTTTTTTTTAGTTATACATATGATAATTGTTGATATGGTGCCTTTTTACCTCCATCCCTCCTTCCCCCCCCCCTTCCTTTTCCGCCTTAAAAAAATATTTTTATAACCTTTACAGTATATCTAATGCTTTTACATATAGTGTATGCACTAATAATGTTTTACAGACACTTGTCCGCAAGATGCAATAACTTCAATTTTGTTTTTAGATGAAATATTTTGATCTTTTCAACTCTTTAAAAGATAATGAAATTTCTATTCAAGATACTGAGAAATCATATATTCAATTGCTAACATTCTTTGAGTTATCCCTTGATCAGAACAATGAAATTGTTCGGAGATCAACACTTATGAACATTTTAGCACATCTTAAATATCGCTGGAATATCTGTAAACGCAGAGAATCTTTATTTATTAAGAACAATACTAAATGGCTTGATAATGAAATTAATTTAAATGATTTTGCTGGAGGCAAAATAACCATACCTACTGCAAGTTCTTAGTCTACTTATAGCGCTTGTCGACCAACAATTACTGACTTTCAAGAATGTTCTTCAAGAACTAAGTATCGACGTGTTAGTAAACTCCAAAAAAGTCACTCGTTAAATGAGCTATTATTTGCTTCAAAAGTTTCATTAAATAAAGAAGGAAAAATAGAAAAAGCTAAAGCAATCAACATAATATATTTAAATAAGAATGTATGTTTTTCAATACTTTCTGGAAATGAAGCATTGTCGTTGATGCTAAATTCAAATATGACCAAAGTTGCGTTTCAACTCCATAGAAATGCAGCAATTGAAAAAGAATGCAACCTGTATCCTGCATATAACAATATAAAATCATCGAAACTTTTGTGCTACCTTAATAACATGATTTTTACTGACTATACTGCAAGTATACCACTGCAAAGTTTATGTGACCATACAGCTCAAAGACTTTGTCAAGTTCAAAATGAAGTTTTATATATGCTAGAAGCGTTTGAACTGGTATCCCTTCATTATAAAGCAGGTTTTGATGGGTCTACTGGTCAAAGCATAAATAAACAAAAAATTTCTGTTGAAAGTTTTCGCGACTTAAAAAGAGAAGAATCATTGTTTCTAACTTGCCTGGTTCCACTTCAGATTACAAGTTATGTTAGAGAAACCCTAACTGTCATTTGGAGAAATCCAAAACCTTCTTCCCCTTTATATTGCCGACCTTTAAGATTTAAATTTGAAAAAGAAACAACTGATTTATAACTTATTAAAAAAGCTACTTTGAAAGACGAGATCTTAAATCTTGTTGAAACTTTTGTTTAGTTATCTAATGGTAAGTCTATTTCAGTCAAACATATCATTCAAGTTACAATGGTAGATGGCAAAGTCCATACTGCTCTATCAAATGTAACAAGCTCTATTCAATGTTGCTGTATATGCGGGTGTTCAAAATGTGGAGGATCTGGAAACTCAAATGACGGCAATACTGCTCGAAAAGCTTTTTCAAATGAAGACTTGTTTGCTGATATTACAGGAATAAACAAGGAACTTATTTTAAAGTTGCATACAATCCTAACTTGTATATGTGGATTTCAAATAGATACTAGTAAGTTTCGCTTATTTTGTCTGGAGACCGCAAAACTCTACTCATGCTTGTACCATTAGTATTACATGCTTCAGAGTCTTCACAAGATCTTAATTCATGGAGCAGAAGTAACAAAAAAACAAAAAATTGTCATTAAAGTTTTTTATAATAATTTATCATTAAAGTTGGGCCTTTATAAGTTTATACAGTTTCTCCATTAGGTTTTATAGAATTCACTATTATACTATTTTTTTTATAATAGATTATTTTACTCGCTACTATTTCAAGACTTATAGCGATGACAAAAATCTCCATTTTTTTCAGAGGTTTTTCAGGATATAGCATGAAAACCAAGCGTTTGCATATTCAAAATAATTTGAAATGAAGGTGTTTCTAAATAAATTAATTATCTTGTAGAAACACAGCGCAGCCTAAAATATAGACCTTCTTGTCAATTAGTGAGATAAACAGTATTTTTTAGTGGTTGTACCTTAAACCCAGCCCGGCCCGGCCCAAAAGACTAAAATCCGGCCCGGCCCAACCTTATAGCCGACTTTTCTTTATTTTTCTAAAAAACTTTGTTTTTGCAAAAGACATTCATTTTTTTACCTTTTTATTGGTTAAAAGTTTAACATATATATACAAAAATAATATAATAAAATAAGATAATAAAAAATAATATAATAAAGTAATATTTAAAAATGTAAATTTTTGGTTTTTAGAATAAAGTTATCTAGAGTGTCTATATAATAAAGTTCCATGGTTTATATAGGGAGCAAGATAATTACTGAAACTAATAAGTAGATCTGTGGATTTTATATAAAACCTAAAAAATTATTTTAATTGAATTATCCAGAAAGTACTGAAACTAATAAAGAAAAGAAATTTGCTTAAAGTATAACAGATACCAAACAGAAAATACTGTTCAAGCAAAACCATTCTTCTTAATTGGAGATTAAGATGTCAATGCGTAATGCGGTGAGTGGCAACAATGCAAAAAAAGTGGTTTTCTCAATGAACCATGAGGAAATTTACGCAATTCCTTCAATAACCCTTTTCACAACTCCTCGCAATAACCCTTAACCCTGATGCAATTCCTCACAGTAACCCTTCACGTTAAAAACAACCACAGGACACTCATAATTGCCAACACTCTTGATAAAACAGTAGGGTTTGCGGATTCTCTTAATGGGGGTAATACTTCAAATCATGATATGTTTCTGAGATATATGATATTACGGTCATCTGTTACTAATAAACTTGCAGTTTCGGACAAAGTTGCCTTTAATGCACTTCAAAAACTCGATGGAAATAGTTGCGAAGTTTTTAAAATAATATTTACAGGAGCTGTTACTAACAATGTGAACATATTGTATATCCGAAAGCTGCGGCATTATACCGTCAATACTTCTGTGTTAGACTTGTACAACGAATATACGCTAACCTTGATAAGGAAAATATATGTGACATTATGTTTTGTGTTAAACACCGCGGTGCTCGTTTAAAATGGTCACAATGCAATCAGTGCAATCGTTTGTGTCATAATGTCTGCGCACCATGTCAATCTTCTCACTCAAGATTTTCATGAATCCATTTGAACAAATAAATGATATTTTGTTTAAAACTTTGTTTACTTTTGTAAAAAATAAATAAAGTTTTTTAAAAATTAAGTAGTTTTTCCAGAATCATCCGTATTTTGCGTTGTATAAATGTGTAAAAGTTTGGTATCTTAAATTTTAAAATCTTGCGGCTGGATAGCTCAAAATCTTGTGACTGGATAGCTTAAAATTTTGTGGGTAGCTTAAAATTTTGTGGGTAGCTTAAAATCTTGTGGATAGCTTAAAATCTCGCTGGTGCTTAATAGCTCGGTTGGTTAAAGAGCCAATTGAAAATTTAAAAACCCGTATTGTTGTACGATACGGGTTCACATCCTGCCACCGCCAACTCAACGCTTAGCATTTCTTCTAAAATGTTGGTCAATAACGGATGCTACTTTGGATTACTCTAAATGGCTATTTGTGGCTGTTCCTATGCTAAGCCAACAATATCTTTGGATATAACATTGTATAAAAAATATAGCATAAAAATTCAAACAGGCAAATAAAAGGCAAATAGAACACTGGGTTTTTTAAAATATGGATTTAAATATCTTGATGTTACCATTTTGAAGCTGTTATACAAGTCAACTATAGGCCACAACTTGAATATGCAGCATCTGTATGGAGCCCATTTGTATTAAAGACATTAAGAGACTCGAAAAGGTACGGCGTAGATCGACTAGGATTGAATCACTGAAAGGCATCTATGAAAAAAGGAAAAAAATATTAGGTTTACCATCCTTACAAGAAATAAGAAGAAGGGGCGATTTAATAGAAATGTTTAAAATATTAAATTCAACTGAATATATAAAGTTTGAAGAGCCTTACAACAACAAGTTTTACAACAACCAGATATCGTTATAATAAAAGACTTCATCGACAATATACTAAAAAATCATCCAGGTATTATTATTTAACAAATAGAGTGGTCGACGATTGGAATCTATTGTCACAAGATGCAATCGATTCTGCAAACAAAAACATGTTCAAAAATAGAATAGACAAAATTTTGAACTTTTGATACCAAATTTTATTAAGGAACTTTTTATTCTATTTTTAAAATTTTACATTTAACGGCTGTTCAGTCAATACACTACGTAGTTTTGACTCACCAAACTTAAATAGTTTGTACAGCAATTATTATATTATATATTATATTATTAACAAATAACGTATAAATTATATTTATAATTATAAATAAATAAATAACGTGTCAGTCTAAATATTTTATCGTCGCAAAACATATTTATATCCATGATTTGCAGTATTTATTTGCTTTTAGAACTGATTATAAAAAAATTCACACAAAATTCATCTTAAATTATAAGCTCTCTGATTCCTTAAAAATGGTAATATTCCTGGACCCTAAAAATAGCTTAATAAAATCTGACGTTGAACAAAACACCGCCATTATAGCTTTCAGAACGTCAAAATATTTTTGTATTCATGTTTAACAAAGGTGAAGTTAGAAAAGTAGTATCGTATGCTAAAAAAGTATAATGAAAAAATTTTATTAAAATATTAATTTTATTACTTATAAATTATTAAATTTTTTTTTTAATAAAAGTTAAACTATTTTAAAATTTAATTTAAAAGCATTTATTTAAATAATTATAGGTTAAAAATTTCATTTTAACCCCCATATAATATAATTACAAGTTGAAAATAGCCGTACTTGGAAGGAACAACAACTAAACTAATTTACAAAACTGTATCCGATACGATAAGAATATTAAAGAAACAACTTTTAATAAGGCGAGTTGCCTTACCATCAAAACGTTTTTGGTTATAAAATAATAAATGAAGAAAGACTGCCTTATACAGACATGCCCAAAGTTGTTGATAAAAAGAAAGATTATGATGTTTTAGGTTTAGCATCTTTTGCGGACGAAGGTATACATTGCGCTTTTATAAGATTATGAAATAAAGTATCATGCCCATAACGATGGCTATAAGTTAAAACAGCATATGTCCTTTTTTTAAGTTTTTAATAATGCAACTTTAAAGTATTTAATTACAAACTAAAATCATTTGATATTCTAAAAAATCACTGTTATATTTTTAGAATACCTAACTTATGTAGATTCTACATTGAGAAAAATAGTATATTAGTTCAATATTAGTTCGGACGTAAGTTGACCGATATAGTCTGATAATAGGTGTCTATAGTCTAGATGGTTATAAAGTTAGTTGGATATACAACATTTGACCTAACACTAAGAAACTTAATAACAAATTAGTTAGTGGGAGAAGCTCACATTTGGTAAAAATGGACATATACTCTTTTAACTTATACCCACCAAAATGTTTTTTTGCATTTTGTTTATGAACACAGTAGTTTAATATTATTTTTCATACAGTGACTTGATTTATTGCTCACATTAAAATGTTGATCATGCTGGTAAATAGTATTATTCTTTTATAAAATTATAATATTAATTATATGAAAGTACAATAGAAAACTAAATTTATTTAAAACTAGTTACAAGCATGAAATACATTTCTTTTTCAAAGAAATTTTTAAGAATAATTTAAATATCAAAATTGTTTGTTACTTGTCACAAATAATTTTTGTGGCACAAATAATTTTATTTTTACAATTAATATTATTGATTATAAAATGTATATTTTTTTATTTTTTCAATCAATATTAGCGATTCCAGAGTGTAATGAAAAACAATTGACATTTGACAAAAAGCACGTAATTTTCATGAACCTTACTCTCATATCTTTTTTTATTATAAAGCTAGAAACTTGAGATTTTTTGCATCAATTAATTTGACTCATTAATTTGACTATTGATTAAAAAACTTGTCATTGTAATGTTTTTTTTCAAATGAAGCTTTTGAAGGTAAGGATTCTTTAACAAAACACATCTTATTTGTGTAAAACTTTCTATATATATATATTAAAAAAAGGAATGAGTAGTCAATGGAATGTGGATTTTTTTTAACATTTATTTAAAATTTTTAATTAGTTCTCAGCGTTTAGAAACTTCAAGATTGATTTATAAATCCTATGGAATGACTATCAATATTATTGATTGTAAAATTAAAAAAAAAAAAGTTGTTTGTGATATGTAACAAACATCTGAGATATTTAAATTATTTCTATGATATAAAAGAAATATATTATAAAAAATAAAAATAATGTCAGAGTAAATAATGCATAAAACATGCTGTATATAAAACTATTGAATTCTACTGAATTGTTCCATCAATCAAGCCAGTCTAAATCAACTTGACTAGTTTGTTCTATATCTTTGCGATGGAACCAAAATCAAGCATTTGAAAAATGTTTTATTTTTCTAGAAAAATAGTAGATTGGTAAAAACTTATAATTATTTAATTATTATTTTTTTTTAAATATAAAAATGAAGTTTTACATTTTAAATTCTTTGAAACTAATAAAAGATTAGGGAATTAAATAATTCTATATGTTTTTAGTTATGAATATATATAAGACCAAGCTAGGGACAAAAATTTAAAATAACTGCAACTAGTTTTGATATGTTCTGTAACCTAAAGTGTAGGAAAGATAATTTACATATTTTTTCTCATTACACATTTTATGAGCAAAATTACCAGTTGAATTTTTAGTACACTATTTTGATAACAGGCTTGGACAGGCGTGCAATCATACTCTATAACTGACTACGGTAATAGTTTTTACCTTTACAACTTGACCTCTGCTATTTTGATGTTTTAACAATTTAAATGCAATAAAAAAAAAGTGTTACGTTATGAATAACTTTTAATCGTTAATCATTTCTAAAGTTTTTATTTTATGCAAAGGCTTTAAATAAAAACATAAAATTAATAATGATTGTTTCAATAAACCTTTTTTGTGTAAATTAATAAAAAATGTTTATAAATTTTTTTTTTGCAGGCATATGATTTTTTTATAAGTCTAAATGTTTGAAACTATTTTTCCATGTCTTCCGAAAAATCTTTTAGATGATTATTTTTTAAAAGAATTTTTTTAATTTGATTTAATTTATAAATAAGTTCAAAACGTTTTGTGATGACTTGCTTAAAACCCGCATAAAAACATTTTAGATAAATGTATTTTTTTTTTTTTTTAATTGCAATAGGAATGAGTTTGTAAAAATGCTTATTAATAAAGTAAATGTAAAATGCTTATTATTAAAGTAAATGTAAAATGCTTATTAATAAATTTACAAATAGCTTGTAATCTTTTATAATAATTTCTAAATTCGTTATGTAAAATGCTTATTAATAAAGTTACTAATAGCTTGTAATCTTTTATAATCATTTTTAAATTCGTTATGTAAAATGCTTATTAAGTTACAAATAGCTTGTAATCTTTTATAATAATTTTTAAATTCGTTATGTAAAATGCTTATTAATAAAGTTACAAATAGCTTATAATCTTTTATAATAATTTTTAAATTTGTTATGTAAAATGCTTATTAATAAAGTTACAAATAGCTTGTAATCTTTTATAATAATTTTTAAATTCATTATGTAAAATGCTTATTAATGAAGTTACAAATAGTTTGTAATGCTCAAATTGAAATTAAATTAAATTGCTCGTTTTCTTTCTATTTATACGAATAAAAATTTTAACCTTTTTTTAACTTGACTTACTAATAAGAACATGAAAGTATTAAAAATTACTATTTTAAAAAGAAGACATTATTTTTTTAAATATATATATATATATTTTTGCAACTTTTTTGAAAAAATAAATGTTTAAAAAACTTTTTAATAAATTTGATAAGATTTGTTTATTTAATAAACAAAACAATTAGTAGTAATTTGTCACTTAATTTAAAAGCGTTTTGTATAACTTTAATAAAACATTTAAAAAGATGAGTTTTGATAACTTTTTTTTCAAACGCAATTTAAAATATAATAACTTTCACTTAGAGTTTAAGTTTTTTATTTTTATTTTAGTGCTTATATATTTTCCTTTTCAAAAGTAATTGTTTTTTCTTTATTATTATTATAAAAATTATTATTATTGTTATTATTATTATTTTCCTATAAGCTTAGCGTTTCTATTTTTAGAGCTTTTCTGAAATGTGTAAATTATCAAAACATATAAACAAGCTTGGTCAAGTTGTCAAAAAAAAAATCATTTGCATGGTCAGCAATAGCGCCCAATTGCACGCTATTCCTGTCCAAGCCTGTTTTAATATTTTATAAGTTTATTTGTTTTTATTGTTGATTTCTGTCAAGGTTTAAGTTATAAACAACCATCTTATTGTTTAATAATTATTGATTGTTTTTATTGACATTTTTAATTATTGACCATTTTTAACTTTGATTTAAAAACAATAACTCAAGTTAATGTTTTTCTAAGTTAGCTATTAATAATTTTGTTTATATTGATAATAAAATACCATCCAAGCTTTATTATCCAACTTATGACAGAACCTAACCAAATAGTTAACATTATAAATGATAAAAACATTATAAAGACATGGCAATACATTATAAAGACATGGTAAAATAGTACTTAAATAATGTGCATCTGCCTTTGCTTTACCGCTCACTATGATTTTTGAAAAATCACTTGAAACTGGAAGAGTACCAATTAAATGGAAATTAGCAGACATAACCTTAATATTCAAATAAAGGAACAGGTTAGTTGCTAGCAACTTCAGATCAGTTTCATTAACCTTAATTGTCTCTAAAGTACTCAAGTTTTATATCCGACACAATATATAAACATGTCAAATAATAGTTTATTAAGTAAACATCAAGATGGATTTATAAAGAGGAAATCTTGTTTAACAAATCTAATTGAGACAATGGATCTTTTGAGTAAATTGATAGCAAAAAACATTCCAGTAGATATTTGTTATCTTGACTTTACTAAAGCATTTTCTCATCAACACAGTATCTCATGAACTATTATTAAACTTTAGTCATACAGAATATCAAATGTCATATGCAACTGGATTAGCAACTTTTTAACTAATCGACACCAAAGAGTGGTGAAGCATTAAACTGGGAAATGATAACAAGTAGTGTTCCCCAAGGATCATTAATTTCTCTAATCTTATTCATTTTATATATAAACAATTTACGAGAGATTTTAGAACACTTTAGGCTCATTGCAGATGATACCAAGTTGATCATGAAAGTAGCTAGCTTTGAGAATAGTCAATTGCTTCAGAATGAAATTAGCCAAACTTTTTTTTCATCAATCTTCGCTTTTAAAAAGACTGCAAGCAATCACTGTAAGAGTTGGAATTTACTGGAAGAGAAAAAATGAAGTTTATAGAGCAAGTTCCCGATTGGCAGATGGCTTAAAAGATTGCAAACTATATGAATCAGGAAAGCAAGATGAAGGAAGCGAATTCCAAAGAACTGATGTTTGAGTAAAAAAACTCGACAAATAAGAATTTTTGGAGCACTTGGAAATAGTCACAGAAAAAGGATGAGACTTAATTGAATGGCGAGTAAAATAAGAATGAAATTTATAGTTGGCACAACAGACGCTAGCTCTTTAGAGCAGTGCCTGTTATAGTATTTGTAGAAAAGAAAAAGAGAAGCTTGACAAAAAAACTTACATCTAATTATCATTTAATAAAAAACTAACTTCATTTAAATTATCAAAAAGTAATTTTTTTTAAAGTTAATTGAAATGCATTCATTGTTGTATTTTATTATAAATTAAGAATACAAATTGTTTAAAAAAAGTTACATTCATTAAAAAAAATACTTTTGAAATAAATAAAAGTTAATTAATATTATATAGCGTTTTAAAACTTTATTTAAAAGTGTTTAGCTTTGTGTAAACAAGTTTTATTAGAAAGTTTACATAACATAACCAAAAAAAAAACTTTATAATGTTTTCAAATATTAAATTTATAGATTCATCAAGTTTATGAAAACAATTGTTTTTGTTGTTGTTTATAA